CTCACATTTTCACCACCAAACAAAAAAATTCAGTGTGTTCGTAACAGCTATAATTAACGAGAGAAAATATGATGGTTCTGAGACATCCTGCATATTACAAATAGATAATATTATATCCACGGATAGGGGCGTTTCACGATGCGTACGTTATCTGCAGTAACATTGCGGTAACATGATTATAACACATTGTAAAATACTGCACGTTGGTGTTGAACCGGACAAATGCGTGTAACAGATCCGCCTGTATGGAGCTGAGTGCATTTGAATTTGAATACCACGGAACTAGTTTACGCTTAACGTATCACAGCGATGCTAAGAACACGAAGTGATCAAACTCGCGAAAAAGGAAGAAAGCGCGAGAGTGAAAATATGAATGAAATCGCGTCGAAGATTTATGAATTAATGAGCAATTCATAATTACGTATCCGCTTAACTTTGCCGAACCTCACGTTTCTAATTATATCTCATTCAACTAAGGAGCCAATTTAACTGGTTCAAAGTTCAAATACGGAACTCGATTCCTATGTTGTTAAATGAGCATGCGTCACATAAATTTTTAAAGGACTTGCACACATAAATAACAAATATATAAATGTACTTTTCTCACATGATTACAACTCCACCAAGAATCTTGCAAGCATTATACATCCTTAGCGAGTCCTTGCATTATGAATTCGGTTGAGTGTGTGCAAAATTGTGTCGGGCAGTTTCACAAAAATGAATCAAATCGTCGTAAACGTTTTCACTATGGAGAAGGAGGTTTCCAGCTTGCGACGAGAAATCACCACAAAGATCAACAAAGTGAAACACTTATCTCATGTACTCCACTACGGTCGCGAGGATTAAGAAAACAGATCGAAGTGTCGCGAGATCTCGGACGCGCGTGCGAACGAGCGAACTTCCTCCTTACCGATCTAACGGGTGAATCACGGCCCCGTTAATCGACCCTGCCGGCTCACCCCGAAATTACGGAAAAGAGCCCCGCGTCTCTCTCTTTTTCCCTCGCCCTCTAGCTCGCGCTTTCTCTCTCTCTCTCTCTCTCTCTCTCTCTCTCTCTCGCTTTTTCTCTCTCTCTCTCTCTCTCTCTCTCTCTCTCTCTCTCTCTCTCTCTCTCTCTCTCGCTTTTTCTCTCTTTCTATCTCTCTCAATACGCGTGTGTGTTTCACCCCTATCCCCAGTGCGGTCTCTCGACGTTACACCGCGCGCACCACCGGTGCACGACGCGCGATACTCGACTCGCGCGTTGTAATGGTCGATCGCGGCTTCGACCCTCTTCCGAGCCATCGAACGGCCCGAACGCGGTCGGATTTTTCGACGTTTACTGCCTTTAGGCCCCTGGACCATGCGTCCGCACGCCCTCCCGCCTTCCACCAACCCCTCTCATCCCCATACACCCCCG